TTATGTTCAGTGTTGAAAGAGAGAATCAAGAAGAATGAGTATCAAGTCCCAAGATGAGAAGTCTAAAGTTCATTAAGGTGGAGTCAACAGCAGATTTTCCAGATTCTCTAATAACCTAAACCTTATTTGCTAGATTGATCTACCTATGACTTTAAACTTAGTAAGACTTGTAATCAACAACTGTGGCAATGGTTCTTATAAGCATCAAGGTTTTGTGGTTAGTTTCAAGAATAACTGACAGTTTCAAAATTTTGACTCTATAAAACAGGTTCTTGACTCAACTTTAAGACTTTCAAAACAAGACACAATGTACACAACGTCAGTAGCCACCTCCCCCAGACTTAAACAACACTGTCCCAGTGTTATTAAGCCTAGAGTTGGTGAAAATAGAAGAAACAGAACATAAAGAGAAAAGTTTGAAAGTGGTACCTCACATTGGATGGGGTGACGAGTGTCACCCACTGTTGGTGATGATCATCACCAAGTGGTGAGCTCGAGTCTGCTCAATTAATTCCTATCTTCTTCTTTTTTTTGTTTTTTTTATGTTAGAAAACGAAAATAAACTAAAGTATGAAAACTAGACTCCCACCAAGCGCTTGTTTAAAGTCATTAGCTCGACTTTGAATGCTGCTCAGACAGCTGGTGGGTCAGAAGGTGGCAGTGAATGACTTGGAGAAGAATTTCTCCTCGTCCATGGTGGTGTATAAGCAGTAGGTGCATGAACTCTTCCAAGGAAGTGAGGAGCATCAGTAGGGCGGGCTTGGACTGTGGTTGGGACACTTCTTTTTCCTGCAGAATCATCAAAAGAAACACCAAGCTTTCTAGGAGAATCTCGTTGCTTGCATAAGTTTGAAGCAGCTTTTGCGCCTTTTAAGTTCTTATTGATGAGATTATGAGGTTTGGAATTGGTTCCAGGAAGTGCATACTTTTGCTTTGTTTGAGGGTTCTGGTTTGTGGAATGTTGAATTTTTGGTTTGGCAACATAGGATGGACTTGCAGCATAAGGATCATGTCGCACTTTTGTGTCTGGATTGGTGACGAGGGACACCAAGTGGTCAGTGACGATTGTCACTGATCCTGCAGCTCGTGTTTCTGCAATTTTCATGCAGTTCAGCTCTGCAATTCTTGCCTCCATCACAAACTCTTTTTCCTCCAGCAACTTGTCATTTATTGGAACCTCTTTTTCGAGCCTAGTCTTTAAAATATGATCTTCACTCCAATCCTCAAACCTAACAGCTTTCGCAGAAGTTTCAGATATTGCCCCTTGAACAGCCAGTTTGTTCACTTGCCCACTAGTGTCTGATTCATTGGCATACCCAGCAGTAATATCTTCTAAATGCTCCATGACTGGTTCTTCATCTCTGGAAGTCCTTACAGAAAAGGTCTGACCATCAATGGTGGATTTCCCTCTCAGCATATCCATGTCAAAATTCATGACAACATCACCCAAATCAAGCTCTATGTTCCCCTTTTCACATCAATGATGGCGCCAGCTGTAGCCAGGAATGATCTTCTCATAATAAGAGGATCTTTAGGTTCTTCAGCATATTTCAAACCCACAAAGTCTGTGGGAATCATGCAGCCTTCAATGTTAAGATGAACATCCTCTAAGATACCTTCTGAGGTCCTGGTGGATCGATCAGCTAGGATAAGAGAGATCCCATCTGGCTTGAAATCAGTCATTCCAAGTCTAGCAGCAACAGAGGAATGCATCAAGTTAATACTTGACCCTAAATCACAAAGAGAATGAGGAAACCTTCCTGTTGAGATTGAGAAATCAAGCACAAAGTTTCCTGGATCAGGTAGCTTCTCTGGAATTCTGCTTTGAATTATAGCACTGACTTGTTCAGAAACAATCACCTTCTTCTTCTTTGGAATTGTGCCCAAGAGAATTGCACCAATGTCTCTGGTAAGCAACGCTCCTTCCTCAACCATCAGCTTGTCTATCATTGCCTTGCATCTGGCTTCTTCTATCTCATGTTTAGACTTCCTAGGATGTTTGGAGAAGGGTATCTTGGGGTATTAAGCTTGTTACTTGCCATTATCTGTAGTTACAGGCGAAGCAGCATCGTTCTGGGGTGGGTGACGATCGCCACCATGGGGGTGACGCTCGTCAATGACTGGTGACGACCCCCGGTTCCTTTGTAAGTTGAGTGACGAGTGACACTCCTCCTTGGTGACGCTCGTCACTCGCTCTGAGAGTGCAAAATTTTTTTCTTCAAACTCCATCAGTTGCACGATCTCCTCTGCGCTCAACCTCTTTTTCTGCACTATTTTAAGCTTTTTTTTCACTCATGACTGTGATGGCATTGACCTGATGCTTGGGATTGATATCAGTCCTTCTAGGAAGGAATCCCTCTTGCCTTTGAACAGCTCATGCAGTTTGAGCAACCTGAACATCCAGCTTCTTTATGTGAGAGTTCAAACTCTTAATTTTTCTATTCAGGTCCTGGTACAGCAAATCTAGCTTCCTATTGAAGTCCACTGTCATCTTCTGCTGTCCTTTTAGGATCTGTTCCAGCATAGCTTCCATCTTGTTGTCTTGTGGAGGTGCAGTTTGGTAGGAAGAAGAACCATAGTTCCTGTTGAAGTTGCTGCTGTTCTGTTATGGTTTTTGAAACTCAGTCTTCTTGAACTATGGTTGTGGAGTATAACCAGAAGAATTCTGGTTTCTTGTGAAGGTGCTTTTCTGATTGTTACCATTATAGCCCATGTTCCACTGCTGATTCCCAAACCTTTAACCCTGAAATCCTCCTGCATTGATGAAATTAACACCCTCCTGCTCAATCTCCTCTGGATTTTCCAAAGTCTCTACCTCTGCAGAAAACTGGACTGATTTCTTTCCCACCAGAAGGCTATGCATACTGTCTAACTTAGCCTTAACCTCAGAAATGTGGTTCCCATCATTCAAACCAGCTTGTTTCATCCTCCGAAAGTCAGCATTCTTGGTGCTGTTAAATGCATGCCAAGTTTTCAATCAGAGTGACTGCATCTTCAGGAAGGTTTGTGTTGAAGTTGCCACTGCTAGCAGCATCCAGCGCCATCTGGTATTTCCAATCTACTCCTCTGAAGAAGATTCCAAGCAACTGCACCTGAGTGAAGCCATGAAGAGGACAGTCCCTCTGATAAGACTTGAATCTTAGCCAGAAAGCCTTAGAAGCTTCCGTAGGTCCATGGGAGAATGAAGAGATTTTTGTTCTTCCTCCCAAGTGGTCAGCGATCCAGGCTCAAGTTGCTTCAGCCAATAAGCTGCATCTCCTCCAAGAGAGTAAGGGAACAGCTTGCAGAACAGGAAGTCATTGCTGACTCCATTAGCCTTGACGCTAGAAGCTAGATCCTCGAAACTCTCTATGTGATCCATAGGATGCTCATGTGGCAGGCCATGGAAAGAATACTGACTCACCAGCTGATAGTAAGCAGGCTTGAGCTCAAAATTGTTTCTCTGGAAATCGGGAGGGCGGGTTACAGCTCTGTTGGCATAAAACCAGTCAGGTCTGTTGTAATATCCTAGAGTCCTCTGAACAAAATGCCCAGCAGCGTTTCCAGCAGTGACTCCAGCGTCATTCGCCACTTGTTGAACCACCTGTTCAGCTATGACATTCCCATTCTGATCCAGTCTCTGCCATTCTTCATTCCTCCTGTTTTCATCTCTGTAAACCAAGTGACCTTCTGCATCTTCAACCAAGATGATTGGAGCGACCATTGTAGACTGTTTCTTAGCTTTTCTGATGGTCCTTTCCAACTTAGCTAGTTCGTCAATGCTCAAAGTCACAAGCTCCTTCTCTTTGTTGCTTCTGGTACTGCGATTAGGCATACACCTAAAACCAGCACAAAGAAAAGTAGCAAAAGTCAGTAAACAAATAAAAACTTAGTCAAAATCCTAATACTAAAAATCGATAGGCTGCTATTACTCCCCGGCAACGGCGCCAAAAATTTGATAGGGTCTAAGTTTTACCCATATTTAGTATACTGCAAGTGCACAGCAATGCAGTTGTAGCACAAGGGGTTATCAAATCCCAAGGGAGTAAGTTAACTACACTATAGAGTTCAGGTTCGGATTAAGCTAAGCAATAAGTAATGTATGTAATGTGAAATAGCAAAATAAATGAAAGCAAGCGAAATTTGTTTATTGATCTAAGTTCAGAAAGCTAAAGGTGTTAAGTCAGGACAATTCGCAGGTTAAATCCGAGAATGTAGAATGCATGCAATCAGGAATGAATTAAAACCGTCTAGAACTTGAAACACAAATATATAACTAATCAATTCTCATTGCAGAAGTTATCTATGCCTAAATCACAGAATTTCAAATCTCTTTGCAAATTCTAACAATCTAAACCTGCAATAATGATTAGGTTCAATTGTTCACAAAACTCCTAAGTCAAATATCTTTGCAAATAGGCTTTTTGCTCATCTAATACTAGTTCAGGTGATTAACAATGTTCTCACATCTATTAAACAACCTAAGGTTTCAAAATCCAGATGACTAGTCCAAGAAATCGATATGAATGCAAGCACAGATGAAGAACCAATGAATTTCCTATCAGTTTAGCAATCATACAAACTCTTAATCAACCTTTGAATGGTCCTAAATTAACTAACATATTACTCAGACATGATTATGGAACACTACAAAAAAAATTGAATATTGTTACGATTAATTTTATCATAATCTGTAATTATTTCGTCATAATTTTCTTATTATGACAAAAGTGTTACGAATTTTAAAACCTAACAATATAAACGTCACAAATTCTTTTTATCTCAAAAACGTTATAAAATAGTGTGACGGTTATCAATAGTAACAATTTGTCATTATTTATAACAATATTAAAACAATCACAAAAACAACACAATTTGTAACAAACAATACTGTTACAACTATGCCACAAATTGTGACACTAAATTTGTAGAATAACTATAAAATTGTACAACAATCCCGTATGGCTTTTATTTCTATTAGAAAAACTATCCTAATTTACTTCAAATGATTGAAATAGAGTAAAAAATATAGAATTATCTATTAATGATTTATATTTATTATTTAACAACTGTTTTCATTCAAAAATAAAAACAAAAATCGTAGTAATCCTTATCAAAGGGATTAATTATACAATGAGATAATAAAATATCTGTTAAAATTACAATTTAATGAAAGATTTGATTTAGCCAAATGATTAGCCACTATGTTGTTTTCTTGCGTCAAAATCACTTTTGTATCTTCAAATCTTCCTCTCCAATATCTGGTGTATAACTCTATTGTGACCATAAAAATGCAGAGATTTTTCTGAAACCTTGGCTCTAGTAGCACAGTTATGCCATTCACGTTCTTTGATGGTGAAGATGTGCTAGCCTTTCTCTTATTTCTACAACCATACATTACCAAATTTTTATGCATGAAAAAGAACCTCCAAAACAAAAGTCAAGTTTATTGAAAGAAAATACCAAAATACTTACTTTTGTATTTCAAATATTTCTGTGCAGCCAAATCCGTTGCTCCTTCGTCTTCTCATCTTCTTATAGATTTTGAAATCTATAACAAAAAAATATACTTATTTCAATTTATTAAGAACTCCATTGATGGGTGTTCGTCAATACTGAGAAATAGATAAATAAAGAATATTTGGGAGAGTATAAAGAGGAAGAGATTATGGACGAAGATCAAGGGTCATGGTTCGTTTCCCACTTTTAAAAAAACCGCCCATTGATTCAATTTTTCTTTTGGATAGTCTTAAATTAGTTGTAATCAATAAAAAAAAAAACTAAATGGTTAATAACACTTTTGCTTACGCGAGTGGTGGAAGGATGAAGTTGAAAAATGAATTATGTTAAACCATAAATGAAAATTAGATTAAAACATTTATTCAATTTATAACAAACAATATTAAAGTTAAAATATAATCATATTTATAATTTTAAAATTATTTATTTAATTATATGCAATTAAAAATTCAAAACATTTTGCCAAAGAAAATAAAAATAAATTAATTAAAAAACTTTTTACAAAATAGTGATTAGTTGTGATAAAATACTTACAAAAATGTGTAACTGTTAGTGACTTAAATTCTATCACCAAAATCGTAAAATTTACTAACTAATTTTGGTTATTAATTTGTAATAGTATTTGTGACTACAAATACTTTATAACAAATTTGTTATGATTAGTGACAAAATTTTGTTACATTAAATTCGGTTATAAGTTTATGACAAAATAGTAACATTTTTATAACAAAATAACTTTGTCACAATTTTGTATATAAATCATCATAATATTGTGACAAAATAATTTGTCACAAATTTTTGTCACAATATTCTCTTTTTTGTGGTGAAAACACAAAGCATAACTAAATAAAACTGCATTAAAAAGAATAGAAGAGGGAAACAAGGGTTCGAAATCTTCTCTAAAAGAGTACAGGATTTGACTCCCTCAGAAGCTCTGAAGAAATCTCTCTCTAAAGCTCTCTGAATTCTCAGATCAAAGATCCAAGCCAACAATGGCTGAAAACCTAATATATACAAGCCAAAACACGAGTTGGAACACTTGTGTATATAGCGGAACTTTGTGGGCCAAAGTGAAATATCTCTCCATCTTTTAATAAACCGTCGCGAGTCCTTCTCAGATGCGGGTGACGAGCGTCACCCTTGAGTGGTGACGATTGTCACCAGTGCAGTGTAACGGCTTCTGAGTTGCTAACATCGGGGCTGATTTTTCCAATGATCCAAAAAACACCATAATCTCCAATTATGCTCACATCATGCTATAACCTGCAAAGACACTACTAGGACTCTAAAAAGACCAAAAACACTTAATAAAAAGGACTTATTCCATGGTCAAAAACCATAAAAACCATGATATATCACCTCAACTTACAACAGTTTAGAAATCCAAACCAGTAGAGTTGAGTGTACATAATTTAAGCTATAAAAGTAGCCTCTAGCACTCCGCGTTAACTTGTCTGCCTTTGTATTTTGAGCGAGTGGGATATTTGAGATAGAAAAGAAGCCAAATTATTTTCCGGTCGTTTTAAATTCCTCCAAATATAGTGCAAAAGCTGGCCATTCATGTGGTTGGGACACCATTTTCCCCAAATCAGAATAGTCTGTAACAAAAGCTATCGTCAATCTTCTTGCATTGAGCATACAATGCATAGCCCAAATCAGAGCCTCCAACTCTGTGTGTAACGGAGAAATGCTTCGTCCGACATTTTCTTGGCCCCATTAACGTCACCCCTCATGACCCATCTGTATAACAGATTAACCCTCGTGTTGTTGTGGCGGTGCTACTTGGGGATTTGGATGTTGATCTTGCGATGGTTCAATCTGTGCCAAAATCTATATTTTGCTTCTGCTTGCGCTCTCCTTAAAACCTCTATGGGATCTCGATCAATATTTGAATATATTTTATCATTCCTTGCTTTTCAAATATACCAGAAAAATCTAAGAAAACACTTACATTCCTTCAGTATTTGGTAGATTCCAAAAAATATGTGTCATATTTGTATATATGGCTGCCAAAGGGAAACCCGATGTTGGTGTAGGTATCGCCGATAAAGCTCACACTTGGAGAACTGGTGGACATTCAAATAATGTATGATTTATTGTTTCTCTTTCTGCTCCACATTGTCCGCATTAAGGATCACAACTAATGCCCTTTCTATGTAGCATGTCCATAACCAAGATACATCCTGAAATAACTTGCCAAATGAAATATTTCAATTTTAGGGGGATACTATCTTCTATGCATGACTCTGTAAGTGACTTATATGTAGCATGTAGTAGTACAATGTGGTTTTATTTCGGTAATCATATTTTGTATTGTATCTCAACTTTAAAAATTGGTTTTTCTCGATATATCTTTAGTTGATGGGTTTTTTTTATTTATCTTTAGTTGAATATTTTTTTTCTGTTCAAAACTTTTTTTTATTAATCTAAAAGAAAGTTTGTTTCCAAAACATCAATATTTTTTCACTAGCCAAAAAAAGTCTTAATTTGTGTCACATACCAAAATATCAAATTTGTAATGACATTTAATAATGCAAAATTTCAAGTTAAGAATCTAGTTAAATTTCATCAATTTAATGTATTACATAGTCACCAACAAACCCATCGGTACAAAACAATTGACAGGCCAAGATTCAAACCGTATGTGCCTATGCTAGAGACCATTGCTCGACTTGCAATGGTCAGTAATGCCAAAAGGGATGTTAAAGCTCATGCTCACAAAGGGATTTGTACACCATATGTGGCTGAGTTTCTTCAAGGAGAGCATCAAAAACCTTCAAAGTGTATAGTTTTGAGAGGCACTAACGGTATGTTTCATGTTCTTCTTAGTGGTTGTGCTTATCGTGTATGCTTGGAAAGAAGGACTTGCACTTGTAAGAAGTGGAAGATTACAGGAATTCCTTGTGAGCATGCTTATGGAGTAATTCTTAAGAGGAAACTAGAGGTTGACGACTATGTTAGCCATTGGTTTCACACATCAACATGGACATGGAGAATAACGTATGCAGAAGGAATAATTCAGGTTAGAGGTGCTCAGTTTTGGCCAGTTGGATCATCTCTTTTGGTGCATGAAGCTCATGAGCCTCCACAACCTGGACGTAAGAAGGAGAGTAAGAAGGATAAGAAGAGGAAAAAAGGGAAAAATGAGTCCTCAAAAAAAAAGAAACCAAAGCTTTTGAAGCACATAATGCATTGTGGAATATGCAGTGCATGCAGCTAATCATAACTTTCGGTTCCATAAGAAAGAAGAAACACAGGTTTGTAATTGCTTAATTGTTTTGTTTATGTTTTCTTCTTGTTTGTTTATTTACTTTTTTGTTCTTATTACAGGTTTCTCAAGGTCAAGTTTCTCAAGGTGAATCTTCTCAAGGTATTGTCACACAAGTTGAGACATGATGTGTGAGAACCAAAAATAGAAGAAGTGTAGCTAGGGTTAGTCTTTAGTGGAAGAAGAAGCAGATCGTTCTTGTGTCTGTTTTTCTCTATGAGAATGAGCTTCTTAGCGGTTATTGGAAAGGTTTAGGCAGCTTTAAGTTTGTGGAATGTTTTTCTCTATGGTAATGATCATACAGACGTGGGAACATTCGGTATCAATTATGAAACATAAAGTTTTATCTTCTCTCCACTCTCTAATTGTAGTTCTTTTGTTATTGAATCATTCTTAAAATTGGTCGATTATTAGTGATGTGGTTATTGTCGCTTTGACATTTTAGTAAAGAGCAATTGATGTAGTTTCTTTTTTCTCCACAAAGCCATACTGATTCAAACAAACAAGTTCATGTGATGCCAGTCATAAAATAGAAACAACATGTGCAAACAAAGAAGTTTAAACATAATCATCATTCACCATACATCTTGAGAAAAACCAACACCAAACCTGTTCTTACATGATCATCATACATCAAGTCTAATGACACAAAACAAACACAAAACACAACAATCGACTCAATCTACTAGTTTCATTACACCGAACATAATCATACATCTAAAAACTACAACAATCATCGTTTTCTTCATACTGGATTTGGCTTCCAGTAACACATCTTCCACCCTCTCCAATACCTCTTTCTCTACCTTTATTTGCATTTTGTCAAATACCATCTTCTCAAGCTCCATCATCTCGGTTGTAATCTCTTTCAGTCCTTGTTCAATTCTCTATGTTCACAAAGCCAATGTCTCTATATCATCTAAGAAAGCCTTATCGACCCATTTGAAAGTATGATTGTCATTGACAAGGTATAAAATGAATGATACACATCAATGAAAATCAATTTTTCACAAAACTAAGCACCAAAACACTGAAACTGCCTTCCGTGCTACAGCGTGAGCACAACGATAATATCGGTGATAAGGATTTGCATCAGATTTGGAAATCTTTTCCACGATTGCAAACTCACACCAACATTTTGATGGCACACCCATAATTCCTCCTCGTGTTCGGACAATTAATGTTCCACTCGAAGCTCCAAATACATTGCTCATTCTCACACTCGAATTTCAACCTACATAAACAAAACAAAATTCATCAATACAAATCGACTTTCTATGGTTGGGTTCGACGAGATTATGAGATTATAAAGGAAAACAAGAAATTCGAACTCTAACAATCACTTACAGTCGATTTGGGATACGTCTATTTAGGAAAATTAATGTTCAATAATTGATTTTGGATACCTCACTTTTAAGGCTCTTGGATATTTATATGAAACTGGATATTTTTATCAACGATACGCCTCTGGTAATATATCAATTTAGATTTTAAAATCGGTTTGTTGTAAACCTTATGTGGTTTGGTTTCGGGTTTATCTTTCAAAACGTAGTAACCAGCGTGGGTTTTATTTCAAGTGTAATAAGCTTTTTAACTTTAATTTTGGGGGATATAGAACGAGGCTGAAATTTTGTGGAGATAAAATGTTATATGAAAGTTCTTGGGTGGAAATAGATCGTCCATCCTTATCCAATCAAACTCTACAACCAAAATGTTAACTAAATCACTAACTTCACACACAAAAAAACATACTCGAAATTCCTAATTATCCAATTAAACCCTAATTACCTAAAAGTTTAACACAGATTAACTAAATTACTAACCACACACACACAAAAACATACTCGAAAACCCTAATTAGACTCTTCTTCATTCTGCTTCGTTAGTAAACAGATTGGCGACAAAGAGGGCATGAATTGTTTTATCGATCTAAGTACCACTCCAAGAAACATTCTTCATGAAACCAATGAGGACAATTAGGTAACTGAATCTCTGATCCTGACTCCGACAGATCTTCTAGACATATAGCACATATTTTCGTTTCTAAATCTGTCGTTAACGGAATATAACAAGAAGGCAAGACGACAAACACTTTCTGAATTAATTTCACAAATACTTCCATGGACAGGGGAACATTTTCAATTTGCTGCTTTTCGGCTTGGACAACCATTTGATAACATATCTGTCGGAACAAAGCACGATCATGAAACCATTTCTCAAGATGCTTATAGACGATGTTTGGTGTGAAATTCTCGAGTTTTAGAGAGATTTTTAGAACGGGAGATGAGGAAGCCTGATATGATCCTAGAGACGAGATGTTACCATTGGTCTCAATGATAAATTCCTCGCATTCACGGGTGAGAGAGATTTCGACAGTGCTTAAGAACTCTAAAAATGGATCTTAAGAACCCTAAAAATGGATCTTAGAAATATGTCAAAAAAAAAAAAATGGATCTTAGAAACGAAGCGGTTGCGTCTGAGATGAAGCCTTTGCGTCTATGTCAACATTTAATGCTGCAGTTTCCATTCGCTGGAAATTCAACAACAAAAACAGAGATGATTGAGGAAACAAAAAGATGATCGAAGAGATCTGAATCGTGCGTCAGAGAGGAGAGAGATTGTGTTGCAGAAAAGGAAATTTTAGAGAATTGTGGCTGATATCAATTAATTATGTAACGGTTAGATTTTGAGTTTTCCTTTTTTCCGATTGTCATTGTTTCCTTTTTCTATTCTTCTTAAAAGCACTTGTAACGCCCATCTATTGTGGTTCTGTTTCCTTATTTTGTTTCAATCGGCCACGACTGAAAAAATATATGAAATAATGGAGAAATCATTTATACGAATAACGAGAGTTCAAAACCATATCCCGAGACATTAAAATTCAGTTTTTATTACCCCTAAGAAAGTGCAAATCTTCACGAAAGTCTTTTACAACAAAGAGTCCCAATTTTTAATCAAATCTTTCAAACGTAATAACAAAAAAAGGTGATATCAAAGTAAGTAAAATAAAATCCTTAACAGGCATATAGCAAAAGCATCCAAATTTGTAAGGGAAAACCTAAACGAGCAAATCAGTCACTTGGTGGTGAAAATGTTCCAAAAAAGGAAAAAAGAGATGACTTAGTATTACTGTACATTCCAGACGTACCTTCCCTTTCTGCTCGAGAATCATTCAGACAACGATGTGCCACTTCACGTCAGCTTTCAGACAAACCATGTGCCACGTCAACATCATTCAACAACAGCCACTTCTTGATCGATCTTCCAGTAGTTAGTATCGTTGTACTCCTGCTGCATATTCTCATCAGAGCTCTCTTTTCCCGGTGAAGCTGTGGCGGCGTTGTTCCTCTTCATTGGTCCTGCTTCTCCAACTATCCCTTCCTTGAGAGCTTGATCCATTGCTCTTTCGGTTCCTTCTGGCTCAACGCCGACAAACTCAACGTCTTTGCTAAACAACGAAGGCACAGGAGGTGATCTCGGGCTAATCTCGCCCTCTGAGGATGAAGAACCGTTTGGGATTCTCACATCAGACATCTTCACGTCATCTTCTGTGACCTGTGCAGCGGATGAAGAAGAATCTCCACGTTCGACCCATTCCGGCGACACTTCATCCTCATCTTCATCAATCTCGATATCTCTAGGTACGTTGTCTACAGAGACTGCTTCTGAGGTTGAGGCTGTGGTGGCTACGAAAGGGTTCTTGCTTTCTGTAATCAAACAGTCCTCATCTTCTTCTTCATCTCCATCACCGGAAGTTTCATTCAAGCTTACATCTTCCATTGCTTCCTCTGTAGGAATCGCTCCTGTTCCTGTGTTTTCACCCAGTTCATCTCCTTGGAAAGTGAACCAGTTCGAGTTTGTGAATAAATTGCTGTACCAAGAGAAACAAACAAACCACCATCCCATTGGTTTTAGAATCCATAATACTTTTTTTTTTCTTTTTAAATCGGATGCTTGGGTTTGTATAGAAGCTTACTTTGCTTGTTCATCACCAAGCCTTAGAGATGATATAACAACTTCAGCAGATTCGTCATCAAAGTAGACATCCTACAAAATAAGTTAATCAGTCAGGACTATTGTAAACAGTGTTTTCTTCGAACGTAGAACATTAAGTTTAAGTATAAATAATACCTCTTCGTCTCTGTCATTGGAACCGTGCTCCTGTAACCAGAAAACATGAAATTTAGATTCAGACCAAATTTTAAGTAATAGAAATCGGAGAGATGAACAATTAATACCTCCCCAGCACCATTGTTCTCTTGCATGTTGTTGTATCTAAACTGGTTCAAGTTATTAGCTAAACCAGCGAGATCATAGTCCCTGTCGTGAACTTCATCATCATCACTGTCCCTAGTCCTATCATGTAATGCAGTTGGGCGTCTGCACGAGGAAAAAGTAAAGTGATTGCTATCGACAGACAAAATCAGAGCTAGCACGATTAGATGATACTGTGCCACTGCCATCTTATCTATAAACAAACCCAAGGATACCGTTTCCTGTGATAGCTCTATGTTTTTACTACGACAACCTTGCAAGTGTAAATGCACCACTGCTCATTCCATAAACAAGAAGCCTTGAAGGTTTGAGAAGAGGCATACCCGCAAACCCAGCGATAAACATTCTCAACTGCGTTCCGATCATGCAACACATTAGCTTCCCACTCGCTCCATTCGTTATGTTCCTAGCAAAGGAAAACGGTACACGTCAAAAAAAATGTTTCTACTAAACAAAATGCAGCCAGCGTAAGACAATGCCTATATATTCGAAAGAAAAAAATGATAATTATACATGGATATTTCATTATGGAGACATCCTCATGGGTTTGCAAGAATCAAACTGATTTAGGCTGGTTGATTCCCACGAGTACAGAAAACAGAGTTGTGCAATAGATATACGCAAATGGATATATTCACAAACACCAATTAAGCCGTGAATAAACAACTCAAATAGTTTTATGTAAAAAGATGTTATACTGTATCATACAGTAACTTTACAATAAAATGTTACTGTTGCTGAACTTACCTCAAGTAAAGTCTTGATCGCGTTACTGTTATTTGACAGCTGAACAAGCTTGTTTGAGATTCTTGAGATATGACCAATATTTCCCACCCGTGGAGCTTGCTTTCCAACAGCAGGTATTGTTGGCTGCACGAAAGCAAAATTAATTAAACTTATAAGTCCATACATTATATCCATTCGATAACTGGATATAACGGGACATTTTTGTATCTGAAAAAAAACGTATAACAATAACTATAATGTCATTGCAAACCATACGACCTGATGTTTCCACATCTAGTTTCACAGCACTGGGGAAATTTTGTATTGAATACGCTCTCTTGACAAACTTTGCTTGCCATATTTTCAGGATAATTATCAGACAGTACCGCACACCAATAAGCATGAGTGAAACAGTTCATACCTGATTATCACCAGAAAGGATTGGCTGTTTCTCTGTTTTAAGAATTTTTCCAATCAAATCACACTCCCGGAGAAGATGGTCAATAATCTCCTCGTTTTTGCTCTCCAAACACGATACTATTATACTCTCTACCTGATGGTGCAGTGCATTATTAAATGGGTACCTGCATATGAATAAATAACGATCGAAAAGTTGGATTTAGCCCAGCAAAACATAAAGATATGCGAGGTAGCAAACAAAGCGAGATATCGTCATCAGTCCAAGAAGAAGTATTTACTCGACGAACAGATCAAGGACTCTTCTTATAGCTCCTGAGCTGGCTAGTTCTTTTCCTGTAGCTTCACTTCGCGTTTTCAACAAGATAGCAATGAACTCCACAATCTAAGACAAGCCACCATTAACACAAAGCAAATCAGAAAAAAATAACTCAAGCAAAAAACACACAGATAAGTCCATGTGTAATTCAAGATCTAATTCCCGGTCCATTTTACAATAGAACCTTCCAGTTTACAATTACTAAAAAAATTACAATGAAACCTGACCTTCAGACGATGACTGCCAAGAGGAGGCCTCAGTTGCCCATAGGTTGTAGGTAAAATCTTTTCATCAGAGGTTACGTTCAAAAGTGCAACAAAGTCACCTACACCAGAAATAAAGGCCGTAAAGTAAAGTTCAAAGAAGTGGTCCAAGCACGAAAAAAATCAAGGAGCCAACTTTAACAAATACATACAACAAGAATGAGAGCTCGTATCTATTAGGCTACAAAGAACAAAGCATATACCCAGAAACTACTTATAATAAAGTGGAAGAGTATGACAAGTTAGCGGATGTTATGATGAACAATAAAAGATAGAAATGGATCCTAGCAATCAGTAAAAACAGGTGATACACATGTTATGATGAACAATACTCAGCAGGAGACACAAGAAATGAACATGCACACATGTATATAACATAATGGGTCCTTTCTGTAAAACTAACCAAGTCTAGGCAGCATGGTGGCAATAGTCTCCGGATTCACAGAAATTGGAGACTCAAACATTTGTTGGCCCCTGAATGAATACATAAAGGGAGAAGAAACTAGAGATCTTCTTGGGCTTAATAACGAAATGCACACCGAAAGTGTGTGGACAAGGCTAGACTTGGACTGGGAATCTCCGAAAGCATGACCAAATATCCTTGCAACAAAACTGCAGACAAAAAGATTACTGAAATTAACTTGAATACTAATATTTTTCTGCATATTTAAGAGAACATCCTGCAAACCTTGAGCTAGAGAGTTTCGTAGCCAAAGGCGATGGAGCATTTTGAGCAATAGTGCAGAGTGTTTCAGCAGCGTTTGCATGAACTTCCAGAGAATTCTGAAAATCGAAGAATAAATCTGTCAGAAACTTCACATCAGAACTGATGAAGATTAAATGCACAAGCCCTGCTGTTTGACCGAAACAATAACCATTTAGAGATTCAGAAGTAGGCAACCATCAAGAAGATAAAAAAATAGATGTGAGTCCCCCCAACTGTCCTCTATTTATCTTATAAAGCTAAAACAATGCGATTTTCAGCAGCTCCAAACTAGCACCCTAGCCACATTAAGAACCAACAGATCCACATTTTACTACAATATTAAAGAGAAGCAATCCGAAGTAGCTTGTAAAGCCCATGTTTCAATTACTTCAATCATTTACAGTAAAAAGAAGGGATAGAGCAATTTTATAAAAAATAATGTTACTTACTGATGGGCTAAGCTTATCCACGATCATTTCAAGCAGATTGCTATCAGCTAACCATTGCATCACATCCAGGTGGTTGGGATACACATGATCATCCGCACCAACCAACCGAATTAGTACCTGCATAAATCATATAAACATTAGCTTAAAAGTGATTACCAGATCAAATATAAAGATAAGAGTGGAAGGACGGTTTACCTCCATAATAGACGTAATCCCTATCAAATCAACCAGTTGCTGGAAAACATTCTGATGGGCCTGTAGACGGTATTGTAAACACTAATGACTATTTTTATATTTGACTGTACACCACAATTCACAAAGTAACAAGTTCCAAAGAAAAGGAGCGTCTCAAACATAGTTTGAATGTGTAACTTATACTATAAACTAAGTATAATTATCAATAACCATAGGTCAGTATAAGATGAATAGGGCACATAAATTTTTAAGGACAGACGGAACATCCAGACTCCAGCTTAACATGCTTTCTGCCACACAATCTTAATTTCAACCACAAATTAGCATGTTTTTCATGCTATACAAAATAATACATAGAACTTTCAAACAGAACTCACTTTTACATAGTTCATCAGCGGGACCGTCTTCCTCAACATGAGGCATATGACAACCTATACCCGAAAGAGATAAAATACATTGTTCATAAGTAACAAACATGTGGAGGCATTAAATAGAAACTGATATGAACTAAATTCTCATAATAACTATTGAAAGTGTAAAACGAAACAATACCTTGCTGAAATACCCAGCTAGCATTACGCTGTGGGAACGGTTTGGTTCCAAAAAGGAGAAAAGTAGGTTCATTAGCTGCATCAGGAAGCATAAAAAATTAAATGAGACCAGAGCGAAAGGGACATCAATCTCACAAGTCAAAATAAGAAGAAAAGTAGTAAAATACCTCCTCCTCCTCCACTAAAGTCTTAAGAATAACATCAATCTCACAAGTCAAGACTTCAGAGGAGATGAAAGGAAACCTAATAATAAAATATGCTTTGAGGTTAATCAATCTTGGTTCAAAACAGTTCGCAAAAATATTCTACATCAGGCCAACAGTAAAACTGGATAAAGTTCATTGGCAAAAGCACATACTTGAAAGCACGCTTGCTATCAGCATCTTCCGGAGATTCTTCAACAATAAAACGTAACAACTGTTCCACTTGGGCTCTTTCTCTCAAACTGCACATGAGCATATAAAATGAAAGCATAAAAGGCCAACATCGCAACCCTTGCTACTACGATAACAATCTAAAACTTCCATTGTATATCAGAGTGGTCCTGCAAAGAAAACATAAGGAAGTATGCAGTGATTCTATCTACTTTTCGTGCAATATCTGCTGGCTTGCATATTCTTTTCATTCTTTCCCAGATTCATATAGAGAGAACACACATGTCATAGTACAAACGAAGATATAACTATCTACACATAACTACAACGAGGTTAAAAAGAAGGACGCCTAAATGAATTACAAATTAATGAGCCGGCTGTTCAAAGCTCTGCATTCTTGGATTATGTCTTCCTCATCCAGAAGTTCTTCCAAAGTGAAGTCTTCCTTGTCTAATATGGATTCAACCTGTCAATAACAAGTAAGTGATAAGGAAAACGAAAGATGAACTCAACTGCCGAATCACCGCAACAACATCGTCCCTTTCTGATTTCTCTCTTTTGTAACTACATTACCAGCTTCCAAGAAATTGAAAATGTGACTTTTTCCCCCTCTTAACGTCAATAACAACTAGGTTTGATAGATATGGAAAAACAAAGAAAAGTTCCCACCACGATATAGAACATCATTACTATGAAGCTATTGGAAGGCAAAATCATTGAAACACATCAAGAAGTTAGCCTCAAAAAAAATTCTCGAGAAAACAGTGGCAAGGAAGAAAAACAACAAATTCGAAGTAGCAAGTGTATCTGAAATCCAAACGCGATATACAATTAACCTACAAGCATGCCACAAAGAGAAATTTGCCCTCCTGTTTTCATTTTCAATTAACGCTATTAGCTGAAGAACATCCATTGAAAACAAACGAAATCTCATAAATTTCACAATCATTAGTTCGCGTACGAACGAAGCAGATAAAGAAAGAGATAAGCGATTCAGAACACGAGGAGTTCACAGAAAATTGTGAAATAAGACGAAAACAATCCCAATTCATGTGTAGAATTGTTCTACTAACCGGTGAAGCAGCAGAGAGAGCAGTCAACTTCCAGAACATGGTGGAATAAAGAAGCAGAACAGAGGATGATGAAGAGTAGGCGGAGAAGGATACGAGCTAATTCGATCTCTTCTCAGACCCGAACTCAATCAATAAATCTCAGGGCACTCGCCTAAAACTCGCCAAAAAAAAACCCTAATTTGATGCTGGTAAAGAAGGAGAGGCACAAATGAGAAATCACATAATTTTAGAAAGCATCCAAAAAAAAACTAATCTCGGAGAGGCATAATTAAAAACTAAATAAGGAAAAAATAATATTATTGTTTTTGTCTCATCGAATAAAATGTTTTACAATTTTTATTATGATGCTTGTGTGTGACTGACTCGTTGCACGGTGTTATCGTTATTCAGTCACACGACCCACGAGAGATTCGGAGCTTTTTGAGTGGTTTTGAGTGGTTTAGTGTTAACCGGTTTTCGAGTTGATTAATTAATCTTAAGAGGAATTAGGAAAACTTATTACGACCTTTTTTATTTTTTCTTAAAAGTATTTGCGTGTTGCCCCATCTTCTCGAGAGCATAGATAGATTAGCTAATTGTTTAGGCGCTAATGCCACTAGGCACTAACCATACATTTTCTGTGACAACATTATGACCATACATTTATCTCCAGAAAATCCAAGAAGCAGAAGATTGTTTCATATAGTATTCTACAAAAGCATAAATAGAAAATCTTGCTTTTTTAATTTCTGAAGTCGTTTGGTTGTATGATATGCTTCAAAATCTTCATATTGATATATGTGACTTTGATTTCGAAGTGAATTTTAATGGATTTAAAAAAAAAATCATATTAAATATACAAAAACTTTTTAAATATAAAAAAACTCCACAAATTTACAAATATATGAATCGACATATTAAATTGTGAAATCATTAAATTTTACAAAATTTTATAAATCTAATCTCAAATCAACTAAAATATATAAACGAATAACAATTTTGATGACATACCTCAGCCACTCTTAACAAATTAGAGAGTTCAAAATCAATCACACAATTTTTCAGCAAGCTTATGTTTTCACTAGAATTTTTATATCAAAGTTTTATGGACATTTTTCTCTATCGAGGATATTATATCAAGGCAGCACTAAAGCCACTAACCGGCTTTGTCAGTAAATCCTTCTTCAGCTTTGACACCATACGTCTAACAGTTTACGTCGGCGGAGTTATAAAGATTTTCAAATTTACCATCATAGATAAACCAGCAATCTATAGTGTCATACTTGGCACGTCGTGGATCCATGAGATGAAAGCCATCGTGTCGACTTACCATCAATGCATGAAGTTTGCTACCTCGGTTGGCATCTTCATACTTCACGGCAATCAGCATGTGGCAAGATCTTGCTTCATCAGCGAACGCAAGGTGCGACTCACCGCGGTAAAAGCCCTCGAAGAAGCCAAACAAACGGAGTAGATTCAGCAAGAATCTCGCAGCTTTTATATTTAACTTTTATTTTCAGCACCAATAAAGGTCGGCTTGGCCTCTGAGTGACAACACTCATCTAATAATTGTAAAGAACTACGAACGGCTAGATCCCGACTTGGATACGTAGGCAACCTCTAGGTGCAACTGTGAATTTAATATTTTGGAAAATCAGCTCGGCACATAGAGCAATCTTCCTTAGCGAATGCATCTTTCTGAGTCGATATTCTGGCCAAACATTCGACTCAAAAAGCAAAAAGAAAAAAAAAAGCAGAAACTAAATTCTGTGGCTGATCACCACTCCTTTGATACTTCGGTTTGATTTAATTACTTCCAAAGTAGATAAGACGAAATCCGAGGACAATACTCGCACGATCCTCGATCATACCTTTCAGGCCGAAGTGAATCCTGAGAGCTTGGTATTCGATCTTGATTGTCGTTTGATATAAGACGGGCAAAGGAATCCCGCTTCCAACTCCGAACTACAAAGTTCCATCGCATAACAGAAACTTTCAAAAAAAAAAATCACATTGATTTACTTTTTGCAAAAAAAAAGGGAAGTAAAGGTAACATCAATCAAATTCCAATATATAAACTCTTTCGGGCAATATCATTACATAAAAGGCTACACAAAAGCCGAATGAATTACAACAAAACAAAAAGGGGGAGGCAGCCGCTCAGCTCAGATCATCCCTTGACTCTGGCGCCGACGTCCTCCCTTGCGCCTGCTTCAACAGCTCCTCAATGGCAGATCTGCCAGCAAAAAAAAATCAACAAAAGTTTGAGAAAAGGCGAAGTCTTTTTCTACAAGAAACAAGCTGTGGTAACACTAACCTGCTCGGCATACTGAGATCATCATCAGTAATAGTTATCTCATCTATAACACTACTTGCAGTATGCCACTTCACGAGTTCTCTCTCAAAGGCCGGAAGCATGCCAACGGGGAGTTCCCATCCTTTTTCAAGCATCTTCTTCATATACGCCACCATAGCGCCGCTCTTTTCCACGCCAATCAAGGCAGCTTCGATCTCCTCTTGCTGGGCAAGCGATGCTTGAACCTGTTCCATCCGCGGTTTAAACCAGGATACCATGCTGTCAAAAAATAAGAAAAAGTTTTAGAAGTATATCAATTAATTATAACTAGGTTTGAAGATGCACACGGTGCAGGCTATAAAATATTTTATATGTTCAATTATGATTAATATAGTATTGAAGATGTTTTATTTGTATATGATTAATTATGTATTAATAATAAAATAATAAATATTTGATAATAAAAAATAATGATAAAATAAATATAAAATATTATATATTTCAATAATAAGTCAAGATAAAAAATATTAGTTAAGATTTTAAAATATTTAATTGGATAAAAATGTAAATATGATAACTAAATAAACGGGATAACATTCAAAAATATAATCATTTATTTAATTTTTATTTTTGGTCCGTACACATGTTCAAATATATTTTTTTATAGACATAATTAGTTGTAATATTTAAGTATTGATTATTTTTTTATACATTATTTAAATGTTATGTTTTTATACATATACAATTTTAGTGTTCAACAACAATCATACAAACGTTTCATATCGTTTTGTGTCTTTTAAAAACTTTATATTTTTTCTAGCATTTACAGTAACATATAATTACAAATGTAAAAGTTATATTAAATAATAATTAAATTTTTATAATATCTTTTGAATATTATCTATATAATCTTTCTTTTTCTCTTTACATAATTAATATGAACTCCTTTATAAATCGTTACTTTGAAAGCTAGAATAACACAAGATGGATTCATGAATATGAAGAATAAGCGATATGAAATAATATGGATATGAAATGGTAGCAAATGAGCAATGATGGCAATGGAAGTGAATGAAACGAACAACGAGTGCACAATGATAATGATGATTAGGATTGAAATGCTAAATGGAATGAACGAGTGAGAGGACTTTACATGGAGGAAGTGGGATTGTATGATGGAGCGTATGGTCACACTAAGGCTGCGGATGTTCCTTAGATTCACCGTGGATCGATTGGTCACAAAAGGTTATGAGAGAGCCTTTGATTTACCTGATCTATCTTTACTAAGTTTGAGAATAATAAGATAGATAGATTGAAACGAAGGTTCAAAGACAACATATAAAGAGTTGAACTCGGTACAAGCACCAAGAATAACTCGAAACAAAGCAAAAACATAAATGAGAGGAGCGTCTAGTTTGAATTGAAAACTAATAACCCTTAAACTACTTAGACAACACGGTTGTAACTTGAACTCGTCTTTGGACAAGTAAATGGGCCAACGATGTAGTATACTTGCCTCGTTAAAAACCTCTCTTGCAAAACCCAATGGGACAAAAAGAAGATGAGGTAAAAAGAGCACAAGTATAACCCATTCCCGATTTACTATCTGTGGGCTTGAATCAAAACCAGGGTGGCTTGATAAGCATGTTTATAATCTTCTTGATTCTCCGAGCGGCTAAGTAACAAATGTACTTCCTCTTGTAGTGCCTTAGCTCTTGAACGTGTCATGGGTCCTTGGGAAAGGTCCATATCTTCTTGATTCACCTCGGCTTCAAGTTGTACTTCGTCGCTGCCGTGCTGCTTCACCTCGGCGTTGAGTTGTTTCACTCTGGCTACCCGCTCTATGTCTTCATCATGGTCCATGATCATATCATCCCCTCCCACTTGAGAAAGATTTGACCTCAAATCGGATTCATCTGAAATAAAAGGGACAAGATCAGCAACATTAAAACTAGAACTAACATTATACTTACCTTGTAAATCCAGCTGGTATGCGTTGTCACTGATCCGTTTGACGATTTTGAATGGTCCGTCTATTCTTGGCATTAGATTTGATTTTCTTTCATTAGGAAATCTTTTCTTCCTCAGATGTAACCAAACTTGATCTCCAACCTGAAAAGCAACTTGTTTCCTTCCTTTGTTGGCGTGTTTGACATATAACTTAGTCTTCTCTTCTATATTCTTCCGAGCACTCTCATGAATCTGTTGTACTAACTCCGCCTTTTTCTTTCCATCAATACTTGCTCTATCACTCAAAGGTAAGGGCATTAGGTCCAATGGAGAAATATGATCAAAACCATACACGATTTGAAAGGGCGAGTATCTAGATGCAAAGTGAACAGAATGATTGTAAGCAAATTCTATGTAAGGTAAAAAATCCTCCCAACTCCTTAAATTTTTCTTAATCAAGGCACACAGCAAGGTTCCTAATGTTCTATTAACTACCTCAGTCTGACCATCAGTTTGCGGATGACAAGTAGTAGAGAACAAAAGTTTAGTACCTAACTTAGACCAAAGAGTTTTCCAAAAGAAACTAAGAAACTTAGTATCTCTATCAGAAACTATAGACTTAGGCATGCCATGCAAACGTACAACTTCTTTGAAAAACAGATTAGCTACATGTAATGCATCATCAGTTTTGTTGCAAGCAATGAAATGAGCCATTTTCGAGAATCTATCAACTACGACAAAGATAGAATCCTTACCTGTTCTAGACCTAGGCAAACCTATAACAAAATCCATTGAAATGTCATTCCAAGGATGCATAGGAATAGGGAGAGGGGTATACAAACCATTCGGTTGTACTTTAGACTTAGCTTGTTTACATGTAGGGCAACGACCACATATACGCTCAACGTCTCTTTTGATGTGAGGCTAATGGAAGTGATCCTTCATGACCTCTAACGTCTTCGCTATTCCGAAATGCCCTATAAGTCCACCTCCGTGTGCTTCCCTGATAAATAAATCTCGAAGAGAGCAGTTAGGAATACACAAACGGTTCTCATAGAAGAGATATCCGTCTTGT